CAAGGTGAAGCTGACAGTTTTTTTTGACTACCGTGGTGTGGTTCACTCCGAATTCCTTCCAAAGGGAGAAACAGTGAATAAAAAATATTATTTAGGCGTCATGAAGCGTTTGCGTGAGAGTATCCGCCGAAAACGTCCAGATTTGTGGCAACACAACTCATGGATGCTGCACCATGATAATGCACCATCACACACAGCCATTATAGTGAAAGAGTTTTTAGCGAAAAATTCAACAAAAGTTCTCGACCAAGCACCGTATTCACCTGATATGGCTCCGTCTGACTTTTTTTATTTCCCAAGTTAAAATTACCACTTCGAGGAAAACGTTTTGAGTCGATACGAGTAGAAGCCATAAAAAAAATTCGCTGAATGAGCTAAAGGCCATACCGCAAATAGCCTATGAAAAATGTATGGAAGACTGAGTGAAGCGTTGGAGATGTTGTATTGCAAGCGATGGGGCCTACTTTGAAGGCGATAAAATAAATTTAGATGAATAATTTGTATTTTTTGTTTTATTGACAAATTCCCGATATTTAGTACACAGAATGTATTTTAAGTTACCGATGTTATAAATTGAGAAATATTTAGAAATTTTTATTTATGTAGTATTTTGATATGTATAGTTTACATGGGTGCAATTTAAATAATTAATATTTTTGGAATGTGCTATTTAAAATACAAATGTCAGTATTTTTTAGTTTATATATACTCCAAATTCGTAGGCTGGGGTAGGGCGGGTGCATTCGACAGTTAACAAATTTGGTTTTATTAACTTTCTGTGCTTATCATTGCATTTATGCATTCCTAACGATGGTGCAATAATATTCAAGCAAAGTGCAGTTTTTTTTGTATTGCAAAAAGTACCCAGTTTTAATTTTAACGTAATATCGACGTTATAAGGTGAGCAATATTTAACTATTTTTTGTTTCTAAACTACATGGGTGCAATTTAAATCATTAATATTTTTGAGATGTGCTATTTAAAATACATCTGTCAGTATTTTTTATATATATACTCCAAATTCATAGGCTGGGGTAGAGGGGATCATGAAGTTATAGATAAAGATGGAGACCACACTCTGAATACCTACTTGAAGCTCAATCTGTGTATTACTATCTCGCTCTCTGTGGGCAGACCCTCTCTTTCTAAGTAGGTAACCTTTATTTTATTTTTCCCAGGATATCGCTATAAGTAGTTGCATTACATTAAGTGGTTTATTTATAAATATTTACATCTCTGTTTACTACTAAGACCTAGCCTATATAGATTATTTATATATATGTACAATTTTTTTGGGAAATTGGTTTTATGAAGAAAGGTTTTCATTTCCATGGGCAGAACCGGTATCTAAAATATCACCACGCATTTCTGTTACAACCCATATAATGCCGAGCCTATTTAGAAAATGTGGAAAATAAATATATCAGAAAATATTTTATTACTACCATTTCGATAATGTATTTTCTGGATATTGTATACAATACCTAAACGGTACCAACGAAATATAAAATTAAAATTTATTATAACACCCCGGGTGATCAATGAATTGGGCAAAATATACCTGATTTATTGTTCAGACAGACTAAATCTATTTCGGGACAATTATTTTAGAAAAATATCACGAGGACTAAAGGAGCGTAGCGTAGCTCCTGTCTTAGCCTTCTGACCTAACCCACCCGAGTCAGGCTGCTCTGAGCTGAAATGTGTATAATACTATATTCCACACATCCTGTTCATTTTACGAATTATCTACAATTCCTAGGAATTCTATATAATAACGGATTTTATAGATTTCTAGTAACATATGTACTATAATAGGAACGATAATATAAAAAAACCTTAAAAAAATAAATAAAAATACTTTCCATATTAAAATTATTTATTGAAATTTTACACATCATGTGGATAACTCTGTGGCTTTTTGAAGTCCTTACAGATATCAGCAAAGCACCCTTGAATAAATATTCTCAATTTCTGACTGACCCGTATACTTTTTAATAGTTGCCATTAAAGAAGACCTATCCTGAATTTTTTTAGTTTGGCGCGCCAATTTTTGCTTAAGAATCTTAGTTTTCGTCTCAAGTATTTCTTCTTTAGTACACTTTATTTTCACTTACACGTCTTCGTATTCACTGCTGACCTAAAAAACAAAAAAACCTTATGAAATCAGTATTTTTAGCATCGTACATAGTATTGCTCCGATCATTAGGGTCGTAGCGTGATGTTAGACAGCCTTCCTGAGGAATTGGTTTTAAAAATGCAAAAAAAATATTTTGTAATCTGACTGGTATGGTTCCAGAGATTAGAGAGTTAAACAAAACAAAAAAGAAACAAATAACTCTGTTACGTCATTATGTCAGTACAAATTTACATCACTTAATAGTTAACACATAATACACCGGAGCGCGACTTCGTGAGCACGCATAAATGAAGCATCAAACAAGAAGCTTCATGCTTAGTGTCGTGGTGACGGTTGCCACACTGCGACTGGCACTAAAGAGTTTAAATATGTATGTGTTTTAAGCTATATAATACATTATGTAATGTAATATTAAAGTTATAATAAATACAAATAAACGGTATCTATTTAGTAATAAAGGATAAGGAAACTTACAGGTAACTTGTTCAGATTGCATAAATTTTCAAGAATTTTTTGACATTGTTTTTACTGGTTTGGTCTTCAATATTACAGCCAATACATTTCACTCCTGTTTCCTTCAGTGCAGAACTACTTTCATTAATTCCAGAATTAGTGCTTGGTACAGCCAGAGAAGTTATTTGCACAATAGACTCTTCATGTCATGCACTTGTTGTCTGCAAATGATAACATATTTTACAAAATGTTGCTTTATGTATATCATACATTTAAACTACTACATTTCTAAATACATAATATATTACGAAAAATAGATAATTAAATTATATTAAATTTTTACCTTGCCTGGTGATACTGTTTCTTGATTTCGTATAACAGTAGGAACTGCTGTTGGTTTTAAGCGCCTTGTTGTTGAATCATAATCTGATTCTTGAAAATGCAAATTGCAAATCCTTGCACTTTCATAATACTTCATTTTCAATGGTACAATGGATAACAACAAATTTCTCCGAGTACTGTTTTAGGAAATCTAAAAAAAATGTTCGTAATTATTGTAAACGTTATTAAAGTATCAGAATAATGAGAAACAAAAACTAAGTAAAAATAAATTGTCTGCGAAAAGAATATATTGTGTTACTAATTTTTAATTTAATATTATGAAATCTATGAAATCCGTCATTATATAGAATACATAGGAATTGTACATAATTCCTAAACTTCATGCATTTCCGGTAACATAATAAGAAACATGTACAAATAATTAGTTAAGTTCACACGGAAAGTCTCAGATACATCGTCAATATGGTCACACTACTTCAGTGCGATTTCTTTTAAACAAAAACAATAAAATTATTCAAAGTCAATTAAATTCAATGTAAAACTATTTGATTTTGACAAAGTTATAATTTACTAATATGTTTAAAACACTGATAAAACGTTTCAGCAAAAAATTTAGTGAAAATACAAAGAAGTATGTTTACAAGTATTCAATGCCAGAAGTCACTATTTAAACACTTACGTCTGAAATCTTATATTACTTCCTGGACACCAACTACTGCCGCAACCACGTATTACACTAGTTTGCACCATTTTTTGAATTATAACAATAATTATCTTTAAATATCTCAAACGACGCTGTGAACTGCTAAGTAAACAACCGCCATATTTGTCTAATTTATGTTGACATATAGGGCTAATGTTGCCACATTACCGAACCCTTAGGAAATGGGATTGTAATTCACTGATTTGTTAACCCAATAATGCATACGAGACCTTCAATTTTGGAATTTTTAATGTAACTAATCGTAGTTAATCAATTTATTTATTGGAACAATATTTTTCAGAGCTTAACTTCTGATTTGGTTATTGTGGAAACTATTTCTAAGAATTTACCAGGAGATTTAAATAAAAACATAGCAATACTGTATTCCACACTAAAAAGAGAAGTCAGACCACAGAGAGTGAGATAAAGATACGTAGGTATTTGACTCAAGCTGTTGTTCCAAGTGTGGCCTCCATCTTTATATATAACTTCATGGAGGGGATGCATGGAAGTACCAAGTCTCTGTCTGTGGTCTGGTTTAATTTGTGTTAGGGGTGTCCACTTTGAAAATATATCGATGTTTTTTTTTCAATGTAATGCATCAAAATTGTGGATCGATATATTCTGGTGCATTGGTTAGAAACATCAATGTTTTTTTCAAAATCGAGTAATTTTGCTGCCTTTACATTACAAAGCTGTAGTCAACCGCCTGACACTCTATACAAACAAACAAGTGCCAATTTTGTATTATCTACTCCTCTTATAACAGCTCTGTCTTCATCCGAACGTCGTTTGTGTGTGTCTTTTCAAGTATATTAGGTCTTTATTATATCTTTTTACCATTAGCTGGTTATGATTGATTCGATGTTTTACGAAAATACATCGATACATCGAATTTAACAATAACTTTCCAAAACATCGGATCGATTCGATGTATGGTATTGTAAACATCACAAACTAATAAGAAAGGTAGACATCGAGTGAATTCGATACATCGATTTTTATCGAATCTCTACAACAGATTAATACTCCCTCCCTACTTTGACATTCAATGATGACATAAAAAAATAGATTATAGATCACAGAGTACCTTTGTATAGATTGATTGCACACACATTGATTGAACACGTAGTGTTTTTACTTTTTATATAGTTTGTGATTGATTGTTGTCAACTTGTCATTGTCATTTTCATTTCCATCAATATATAAATAGCTAATTTTTATTGAAGTTTGAATTTGAAGCCATTTGAAACTTTGAAGATTTGATTAATTTCACACTCCTTTCGAATTTACGGGAGATTCTTATTTATTTTCTTACTACTAAACTAAAGCTATAATTACATCTGGATAGTAGATATTAGAATGGCTACACCTACTCCAGACAATCCAGACCAGTTTGACCAAGTAAGCTTTTCTGACAATATAAAAGATTTGTCAGAAAATTTGTAAAACTAAATACTTTTTACATATTTTTACAGTTTGACGACGAAGAGACAGAACCACAGCTTGGTGCTACTGCGTCAGGACGTAAGAGGTTGTTCAGTAAAGAACTACGTTGTATGATGTATGGATTTGGGGATGACCAGAACCCTTACACAGAAAGTGTTGACTTTCTAGAAGATCTTGTTATAGAGTTCATTACAGAAACCACACATAAGTAAATATTACTTTCTACTTGACTTATTCTTCTGGCCAGTGTTTAGTACATAGTCATATTTCTTTGTTTTTTTTTTCTGAATTATTATTAATTTTGCTAATTTTTTAGACCTCTCTAAATTAATTAATTAATAATATTTATATTGGTTAACTACTGGCTTAACAATGGAGCAATGAATTTTTTGTCATGAGATCAAAGACTACTCATGGACAAATTTAGAGAAATGCAAAATAATCGGCGACGTGAGAGTCGGACTCTCGCATGAGGGGTTCCGTACCATCGAAATACACGTAAGAGAGCCCCTTTTAATTTTTAATTTATTTTTTATATGTGGTAGAGCCATACTGCAGCTATATTAGTAATATAGTTGTAGCACGAATGAGTCAGCTTGACCAGAAGGACCACTCTCACAGAATACCAGCGTAAAATAGCAGCTTAACACTGCTGTGTTTCGTATGATGAGTGTAGAGAACCGGAGACCCTTTTTACTGGAAATGAGGCATTCCATCTTAGTCCTCACGGGTGACAACGCATCTGCATTTTGATTCGCAAACGAGGATAAATGTAGATGTCTATAGGCCACAGCAACCACTTACCATCAGGTGGACTGTGTGCTCATTTGTCACCCTATCCTATAAAAAAAAAATTTTTAATTTTTCAGCCCAAAACGTGAACCAATTCAAAAATAGATTAGATAATCACTTTCTGAACTGCAAAAAGAGTAACTAGTCGACAAAAACAGGATTCAGGCATTATCAGTTGTCTCAACTGCCTGTCTGCTAATATATAATATTAATAATAATAACATTTTTGTACTTCACATTTTATAAGGTTCTATAAATTCTTTCGAAAGACTACTGTGTGTGTGTGTGTGTGTGTGTATAACGTGGACTATAATCAGTACTTAGTGTTACCTTTGCTAGCTCTTTAAACTGCTTCCAGTCTCCTTGGCATACTTCTAATCAAGTTATCAATAAAATTTTGAGATTCTACGTTCTTTGTGTAAAGTCTTTTTAAGATCTCTCAAATTAGCGGGGCAGGATTTTTTTCTTAATTTGTCTTCCAAGCTTGTCCCATACATGCTCTTTGGGGTTTAAGTCGAGTGAGAATGCTAGCCCCTCCATGGCATTGATTTCAACATCTCAAAGGTATTCAACAACTACGGCTGCAGTATGGGGGTATTCATTATCATGAATAACAATAAATTATCTCTTATAAAAGGGACAAAAAAATCGCTGTACAATTTCGTCCAAAAATCTCAGTTACATATCTGGCCTCTGATATAAAAATGTTACTCCACCTTATGCCTCTTTTACAATAATGTCGCACTCAGCATATCTCTCTCCCAGGCTTTTCCACATTTTAATCCTTCTATCATCTGGATTCAGGCAAAATCTGAACTCATCTGTGAATAACAATGAAAGAACTTGACTCCAAGGTTTGTCATTCTAATTTTCGTAATTGGGTTGACGCAGTGTTAATTTTGTGTCAAAAAAAGGTCCTCTGGCAGGCAAGTGTGAAGTTATTCTGGCCAATTTAAGTCTTTATATTTACAATTTTTGTGCTTTCTGTAACCCCTCGAACTTCGTGGAGTTGTGTTTTTACCTCAGTAAAGTTAAGTCCAGTTTCTAAGCACGCTTGTAACAATGAACCGGTCATCTCTGGGCACAGTTTTCCATTTACGTCCCTGTCATGCGAGTCTCATATACTGTCTGGTCTGCCAATACCGCTTGATAACTTAGTTTACCACAGATTATTCTACTCATAATGTTTGTAGATGTGCCCAGTTTCAATTAAAGTAACAGCCCTAGTAACTTGAGTGGCGTTTAGATCTGGCATTCTCAATTTATTTCCAGCAACAATTCACACTTAACAAGATGAACAATGTAATTAAGGCAAAAATTCAAATAAAACCTAGATTTAAACTTAAATTCAAAAGTTACCAAAACTTTACACACCATGAATGAATGCAATATTACATAATTACCTATTACATAAAAATTAAAAACATGAAATTCGAAAAAGATTTTTTTTAATAGCATTTACACACAGTACACACGATAATTACAAGAGAAATTAAACCATTTATTTGCATTCCTCTAAATTTTCCCATGAGTGTATATTTGACATTAAGATTGATGGAATAGTATGTAACATTGTTAGATACTATTCCACATTTTTTGAGTACATTATACTTGAAAAATTATTTTGTTTTTATTTATTTTTAGTGTCTCATATAATAATTAGCAAAACATAATCTTTAGATCACTGGTGTTTGTCTCTAATATAATCTCCAAAAGTATATTATAATATTTAAGAGACATAAAAGTTCACAAATTTAAATCTTGATTTAGGTGTCAATTTCAATGGGTAATTTTAATGCATATTATGGAAAAAAGTTTTTTTGCATTAATAATGCATGCATTAATAATATGCATAATACATAAGCACACAAAATATATCATCTGTTGTTCATGTTTTGAATTATTTACAATCATTTGACACTATACACATGTTATTAAAAAAAACTTTTTTTGATAACATGTGTATAGTGCTTATGCAAAATATATCATCTGTTGTTCATGTTTTGAATTATTTACATAAAAAACATTTCAAAATGTCTGTCAATATTCGCTAACTGATAATCACTACTGAGAAATATCCTGAAAAAGTAACATATGGGTAATTGGATAGCCCATGGGCACTAGTCAATCTATCAAATTCAAAAGAAGAAAGTTAAGATGCAATTCTTGATAGCCTGTAATTATATCTGATGCTTTAACTATTACAACTGGAAATTCACTGTGTGTGGTTTGCTAACTAGTAGCAGAAATAGATACAACCAACCGAGATGAACTCCTACTACTTTTTCGTTTCTCCTGGTTTTTGAGCTTACCCTAGAACAGATTAATCTTACTAAGGTGTTAATTCTAAAGTAAAATTAAAAATGTCATATGAGTGAAGATGTAGGTAAACTACGCTACTTATTATTATTGTTACATAAAGCTATTTGGAATGGTAGTGATAAAGTTTTTGTTTTGTACAGGGCTATGGAAGTGGGTAGACATGGCCGTGTTCAGGTTGAAGATATAATATTTCTAGTGCGTAAAGATCCACGTAAATATGCCAGAGTTAAAGATTTGCTAACAATGAATGAAGAATTGAAAAAAGCTAGGAAGGCTTTTGATGAAGTTAAATATGTTGGTGAGTAACAGATTGTTTTAAATTATAATCAGCCTGTCCAGTCACATTTTATAGAAGTAAAAGTTACAGCCTATAATGCCCCACTGCTAGGTGCTGACTCTTATTTCTACTTTTATAACCTTCATAATATTTCAAAATTCTAAAATGCAATCATAAATAACACCAAATATCATTCTCAGTAAATTTTTAATAAATAGCATGCTTATTTATTAAAAATATACTTTTAATTTGTTAGTTTTTACATAAATTATAAATTTCTTTAAAAGTTCTGTTGTAATAATTGTTTACAAATTACAAATAAATATAACTGAAATAGTATTTATACATGGAAATAACAAATCAAGATTAATGATGTTCATATATATGTTTTCATACACTTATAGAAGACCAACAATAACATAAGTGGCCAAACAACCAACCCAACGCTTCTAAGACTGATGCAAGTAACATAATTTGATATTGACACATTGCTTTTGTGTTTGCACCTTGTACTAATAATTATTGTGTTAATTAATTATGCTTTTTGTTGAGTGAAGTTTTATTTTACTTACCTAACCCATGGATGTTTTATAATGATGTGTAATATTGTGTTATAATATAAAGATTCAAGTTACTAAAAATATAATAAATAATTTCCTGTGTAATGTAGGTATAGGTCCACTGTTAAACTGAGTAAGTTTCTGAGGTCACAGCACAACAGGCAAGTGTCTCTTCTATACCTTTCTATATATCACAACTCACTCATCTTCACTCACCTCTTGCTCAATTGAGTACCTCAGGAGCTGACTTAGTCAATCAGTTGGCCTATTAAAAAGTAGTAAATGGGTAGTATGATATGATACTTATAATTAAGTTTAATGGCCTTTTCTCTCTTTCAGAATGAATATAAATATAGCCTTACATGGTATGTATCTGTAAATCTGTTGTATTAAGGCTTAGAAGAAACTGCCTATTTGTCCTTTGCAGAAAATAAGAAATCTATTAAAATGAACATATTTTCAAAAGTTCAATGTAAGGATAGATGTTTAGCTAATTAGTATATGTGAATTAAGTAACTAAAGTCCGCGCACTCTATCTTGGCCGCGCTGAAGTTAGGCGTGAGTGGCTGCACAGATATAGTTTTTAGGAACAAAATGGTGACAAGAGAAGAGGGAGGGTGGGCGGTAACTAAAACTAGAGATGCGAATATGCATATTGCACGGTTACAGTTACGGAAATAATCGATTATGATTAGATTTTATTTTATATTTTTTGTTTCATTGGTATGTAAATACAACATGTCATTTTAATTACATGTTTGAATAATGTAACCATAGAATTATTAAATGTAACAAACAAAGAAATACAGGGAATGCGTAATATTTTTTGTTTTATTTTTCATTGTAATAGGCACGTCATTATACCTACTAGATATCGGGTCGGCGCAAAAAATACGTCGCAAGTAAATAACAGCGCACTGGAGACGTGAGCTCTTATTTCATTTAGTTGACTTGAAACACAGCCAATGTAAACACGTTTCACAATGCCGCAATGTATATTTAAAAGTTGCAAGAATAATGTCCGAAAAAACAATTTAACAGCCGGAGTGTATTACTTTCGGTAAGTACATGTAGAATAAGTTAAATTTTAAGCTCTAAACTAACAGCTATTATCGTATTTGAAACAAAATTAGCACCCCTACAAATGTTTAGCACAGTAAATATATAGTAGAAACAGTACGGAAACTTCCTACAAACGCTCGAAACGGCACACTCAGACAAGCATGCGCAACGACGAGACTTCCAAGCGCTCGTCGCGGTGCTCTCAGTAGCGAGTGTCGCTGTCGCCTCAAGACTAAAAATGCCACGTACGTATTGCGTAGTATACGAATGTTTGAACTCGGCTTCATCAAAACCGGAGCTATGTTATTTTAAGCTTCCTGCTGATTTTGAAAGGTAAGAATGATTTTTATTGTCATTGTTATAATCGTTATCGAATTATAAGTCCGTGTGATCGATCATAATGAATTCGTGAACTTATTTGTACATCCAGAATGCGGCGGTTTTGAGGCTATTTAAAGCTGATAGTGTAATAGTGGTAACAAAAAGTAAATCCAAGATGGCGGCTGCAATAGGTACCATTTTTTTTTATTAGGTATCATTTTTTTTTCATGGGTGCCATTTTCATGGGTTTCGAGGGTGTTGAAGCCGATAGTGTTGTCGAAATATAAATCCAAGATGGCGGCTGCAGTAGGTATCATTTTTCGTCATGGGTGTCATTTTCATAGTTTGTGAGTATGTTGAAGCCGATAGTGCTGTTGAAATGTAAATCCAAGATGGCGGCTGCAATAGGTATCAATTTTTTCGTCATGGGTGTCATTTTCATAGTTTTTGAGTATGTTGAAGCCGATAGTGCTGTTGAAATGTAAATCCAAGATGGCGGCTGCAATAGGTATCAATTTTTTCGTCATGGGTGTCATTTTCATAGTTTTTGAGTATGTTGAAGCCGATAGTGCTGTTGAAATGTAAATCCAAGATGGCGGCTGCAATAGGTATCAATTTTTTCGTCATGGGTGTCATTTTCATAGTTTTTGAGTATGTTGAAGCCGATAGTGCTGTTGAAATGTAAATCCAAGATGGCGGCTGCAATAGGTATCAATATTTTCGTCATGGGTGTCATTTTCATAGTTTTTGAGTATGTTGAAGCCGATAGTGCTGTTGAAATGTAAATCCAAGATGGCGGCTGCAATAGGTATCAATTTTTTCGTCATGGGTGTCATTTTCATAGTTTTTGAGTATGTTGAAGCCGATAGTGCTGTTGAAATGTAAATCCAAGATGGCGGCTGCAATAGGTATCAATTTTTTCGTCATGGGTGTCATTTTCATAGATTTTGAGTATGTGGAAGCCGATTGTGCTGTTGAAATGTAAATCCACGATGGCGCCTTCAATAAGTATTAATTTTTTCGTCATGGGTGTCATTTTCATGGTTTTTGAGGGTGTTGAAATCGATTTTTCGTTGTTGCTTTAAAAAAGAACACATAAACTGCAAAGCTGCTCATCTAATTTACAAAAAAATAAACAAAATCAGTTTCATAGTACCCGTTCCTTTTTCCCAACAGTTTATTTAAAAAAAAACCTGTTCATTAGAATGATATTTTTTTACACAGTTAAATTCAATAATAAAGAATTCCGAACTTGCCGTAGCAGACGAAAATATTTTTCTGTAAATAATTTATAATAATCTATACAAATAAATAAAATTGAAGTGTTTGTAATGTCAAAATAACAGCTTTTTACTAAAGGCATATGAAAGTAAATACGGTACTTATAACTAAATAACAATTGTCTGTCTGTCCGTCTGTTTGTTCCGGCTAATCTCCGAAACGGCTGGATCGATTTTGACGGCACTTTCACTGGCAGATAGCTGATGTCATAAGGAGTAACTTAGACTACTTTTATTTTAGAAAAAGAATTAGGGTTCCCCGCTAAAAAATAAAAACCCTAGCACGCGAGCGAAGCCGCAGGGAACAACTAGTGAAGAATAAAGGTACGTTTTCGTCCTACTGCGGCTCGCGTACGTTCCCGCCGAAACTTTAAAAAGTTACGCCGTAATGACAAAGTTAAAGCTCTACAAGTTGTTGTGTGTTAATATTAAAATGTTTTCCGTGTTTAAACTATCGCTTTTTGCTGAGATTACCTATTTAAATTGTATTTGTAAGCTAGTTATTTAAATTCGATTGATTGATCACTACAGAACAAAAATATAAAAAAAAGCAATATCAAACATTAAAAGTTACAACCCTATTGCTTCAATAGAGCGTAGGTAATTATATCCTCAACTTTCCATACTGTTCATATTTATACTGTCTGTTTAGCCAAGGTTGGCCAATACACGCGTAAACATTTGTGAAACAGAACAATAGAGTACATGGAGTAGATTTGTATTGTAATCAAATAAATTACATTGAAATTTACTTCTACTATAAATATTTTAAAGATAAATATATTATAAATATAAACATTCTTTGAACATACACAACTAAAAAAATATATAACAATAAACATTCTAGTCGCAATAGCCCTTTTTTCGTTTTTTGCCTAATTATTTATGAACAGGAAAGTGTAGGTAAATAATTAGCTATATCGATGCCGCGTGAGCACTGCGTAGCTGCCGCACCGTTGCCACTTTTACATGTCACTTCTAGTCAGTAAATTATTATTATCAAGATGATTTATTTCGTGTCAATTTTTACGCTATTTATTTTGTTTGAAAGATGCATGTTTTATTTTTGGTAGAATTGTTTATTTTATTATTTTAATTGACATATATGAACTTGTATATACCGCTGTGTTATTTAATATGATAACGCAAATCGTTAACGTTTTATCTAATAAAATGCAATCATTATACTACATACTATATTTAATGGATAGTGTTGAAAGTATTTATACTAATAAACATAAATGCCCAAAATATAAATAATTTTAACTAAATTTATGATCATATTATTATAAATTATTTTAGTGTTCACCGCGACTCCATAACTTTTGTAGCTAAATTCGAAGAATCAAACAGAAACGAAACAAAAAGACTTAGCTTGCAAGGCAATAACGGGAAAAAGTACTTTAATTTGTTATTACTTAAGGTTGATTTCACACTAAATGTTATTTAACTTAAGTGACAGGAGTAATGCTATGAATTGTTCTTTTTTGTAACTAATGATCGTAAGATTTGTGACTTTATTACTAGATACCAATGTTGCAATTGGGTTGAACATAAAACTGTTTTAATTTTTTGTCTCAGTTCTTTAGTAAACAAATGTAGCTGTGTAAGTATATATTCACGCGGACAGCATTTAGCTATGATTTTGTACGTGACCCGTTATCTAGTTGGTATCGTTGATCCGAAGCCTATTAGGGCCACTTTATTAGGTCACATTTGGAATCTGTCTGTTTTAGCTTCATAGTGAGGTAGCTTGCTTAAAATTATCGATTAAATTAAATGAATCGTTATTTTTTTCTAATATTTGTGAATCGAATGCAATTATAGTGAAAAAAAAAACATCTCTTCTTTAAAACGCACTTCTTGCTTATTTACTGTAATTTTAATTGAGCTCCATTAAAATCCCTGTCCTATTATTATATTCCATCAAAATATTAAGGAAATAAAATAAAACCAATAGGTGCATAGTTGAATCAAAAAATTACATTTATTCAGTTGAACTATCCGACTTATAACTAGTGTTGTCATCGTCATCACTGCTGCCTGCATTCGGAATCAGTATTGTCTAATCTCACTTCCACAACATACAAAATAATAAATTATAACATACTTATTCGAAAGATAAATCTATTTTTGCCAATAATTTCAGAACACTGATTTATTGACGGTCGTGCCGGTCTCAACGAGTGCATCAG